CTACCTAAATTAACTATTTGCTGCCATTTCTAAACATTATCTATGGAACAAAACTGAATAAGAAGAGTACGTAATGGATGCACATTCATTATTGCAATTTGGGTGGCATTTCATGCTTCCAACATAGTGATATCCGCGGTTATTAACATGTAACACCAAATGAGAAACATTCTGACCTTAGAGTGAGCTACCATAGCCATCAAACTAAAACATCCTGAATTTCCCCTATAGAGATAAGTAAGTATTTATCTATCTATCTATCTATCTAGTCATTGCTTTAACAATACATAGCTTATTACTTACCTTGAATTTGACATTTTATTTTATAGTCAGATACAGAACATTATACACAACAGTGTTATGTCGATATTATGTGTAAGATTATTGTTCTCTGCGGAGCTTGCATATGTTTGTTTCCTGTAGACCACACACAAACCCACCCACTCCTGCCTCCTCTGTGTCTGATCAGCACACTGTGGCGATGGCTGTCACACCGGAGCCACTTAGTCTCACTTACATTAGTACTTAATATTTTAACAGCTGTTTATCCCCTAAATGATAAAGAGGATTGATGATTTTCACCTGATGTCATAACTGACAGAGAAGGTGCACATGCAGAGAATCCTGAGTCTACAAATCACTTCTGAAGCATCTCAGAGAAAAACTTTGTCAACATATTTCATTTTCAACAATTCAACGTCAGCTGTCAATTAGCATGAAGGATGTCACTGGCAAGTGACATTTCAGGCAAGTTGAGTTATTGTGCTGAATTAGTGTTTATTTATCATAAGTTATCATGTCAGCAAAAGGTTAGAGGATAAAATAAGCAGATTCAGTCTATTATGTATTGATTTACAAGCTACTGCCCTTGGCCCATGGTGTAACTTTTGTCTTTGTGAAGCCTATTATAATCAGTTTATGTTGAAACAGGAAAGGAGCTGAATGAACTGTAAGGTTATTTTGAGGCTGTTGCTATTTGTTGCATTGCATTGGACTAAATTATCATATTTTATCTACCACCATTTACAAACTTGTGGAGGGCAGACTATTAGAGACACAGCTCACATCTCAAACTGCTAACTTTTATTCTCAAGGCCTTTAACATGTGCAGGGATGCATTCAAGAACACAACAAAATTGGAAACAAGCAAAAAAAAAAACTCCCTGCCTTCCTTGGTTTTATGGGTTATTGTTGACTGACTCCTGAGGGAAGATATGAATTAATGTTATTTTGAAATCCTCCTTTCTGCTCCCTGTCTCTCCCAAATATGACTTCCAGATATTCACAGGCTCCCTCCTTGAGTCCAGACACAGGATCCAAACTTTCCTTGGTGACGGTGGCTTTGGCTACACTGCCAAATGTGAGGACACTCGAACCAAAAAATTAGTGGCAGTTAAAATATGCAGGTGAGGTCCTAGTTTTTAATTCATGTTTGCTGTGCTGAATTTTTTAATTCTGCTTTCTAATGAGAATATGTATTTGTGTGTGTTGTGGCGAGCCTTGCTGTTTGCGCGGCAGTGTCCGATGTGTTTTGCAGCATGATCATCAGTGCTTTCTGGTGGCACCTGGGCCCTGTGTTGTGCCTCTAAAATTAAGGTCCTGTCACTCACTCACTCTCTCTCTCTCTCCTTCTCTTTGTAGGAATCCCTGGTGGTGATGTGACAGCCTCATTTTCTTTTTGTTTGTGTTTGTTTATTTTACGCACTCTACAACACTTACACACATCCATGCTTACCACTCGCACATCATGCGCTTCACACTGATCTTACTGACATTCACACCCCATGATTTCTGATTATTCGTTAAGAATATATTTTCATTGATTTCTGTTAATGTTGACCTTTAAAATGGTGAGTTTCCCTCCTTGTCATGGCTGTAAGAGCCAGGCTGTGACAGTGTTCAGTTAACCACTGTTCAGTAACTCATCTGGAGTCAGTTGGCATTATATATGCTGATATAAAGCCAGAAAACATTATGATTGTGGACTGTTGGCTGCAGCCCCCTTGCAGACTGCAAAAGGTCTCTTGACACTGCAGTTTATCCTTAACCGATAGTGTCCTTAGACCAAGTGAAAGAATTGTTTAAAAGTGTCTCTTCTAAAATGTGACATGTTGTTTTTTTGTGGTGCCCAGATGAAATTCATTGTTGAGATGCAGGGTCAACCAGCAGATTATCTGCTTAACCATGGATCAGAAAGCACACAATTCTTCCACAAAGACTCTGAGCAACTATGTAAGAATCTCTGGAGACTTAAGGTGCCATCACTCCACCACATCTGCAGTATCTGATGTGTCTGTCTGTCTGTTTGTCTGTCACTCTTTCAATCATTCTATTTATGCTAATGTCAATGCTTCGTCTTTGTAGTCTTTGGAGGAGTTTGCCGCTGCCACTGGGTATCACAGTGAAGACACTAGAATCTACACTCAGCTCTTTGGATGACATTGAGCGTGTGGGTGCTCATTTTTCTCTGCAGACCAGCTCAGTGATGGCGGGTAAGTTGTGTCTTCATGTGCAATGTGTCCATGTGTGCAGCTGTCTGTGGGCATCACAGATTCACAGACTTGATTGTCTTCCAGTGTTGACACCTGCTTGAGCATGAAGACACTAAGCCCTGTGGTGAACGAGCCACAGATCAGGCAGCAGAGTTCCTCACTGCCGAAGATGGTGTTGAATCCACCCTTGCTGAAGAAACTGTTATTACCCAGCCATCTGCTATTTGTGTAAGCCTGGAGGGAGAGGAAGCTGCAGACAGCCTGTCTGTCAGTTACATCTCTAAGGCAGTGGTTCTCAAACTTTTTCTCATCAAGGACCCCTAAACTGACACAAATTAGACCATGGACACTCATCTGATAAGATTTTTACTTTTAGATGTTTTATCACAGAAAGTGTTTGAAATGCATGGCCAAAATAGCTATACATTCTGTCATTGTGTTACTTATGGATGGAATTATAGGGAAAATATTTTTTTGCTGGTTCTTGTGTTTAGAACTAACAACACGTCTTTCGATTATTAGATGTCCTTGTAACAGATGACAGCATGACAGAGGGATGTATCAAAAACTTTTTCAAGACAATCAAAAGGGTTTTTTTTCCTCCTGCCTTTATATTTAAAATCATCAACCAATCAACTTCTCATTTATCACTTATATCACTTATTATTTTTCATTTTTCATTGATAAACATGTCATTCATGCTTTGGTTGTATTTTTTTGTAATTACACATGTGCATTGCAAGAAATGTGTTTTTGAAGGAACTTAATGTCAGCTGATGAACTGTCTGATACCATAAATGTGGAACATTTTGTTTTCTAACATTTTCCAAGAAAGAACAATGGCAGTAAAATATCATTCAAATTCACTCTGGTTAAACAGGCAATTTCTCTGCCATGTATCCCAAGTACAACCATGCATTTTACCTGGACCTACAACTGATTTATTTGGTTGCACAACATTAATTTTACCAGCAGATGCCAATAGTGTGCACTGTGTTACTTGAGGTCTCCAGCCATAGACTATATATAAAAACTCTCCAGCACTGGAGAAGCCTCAGAGGATAAAGTACCTATAGGGTCTTCTTTACCTTACCAGTTATTTTCATCTTCCAAAATAAAAGGTTTGGTCATAGATAAAAAGACAGTATTTTGTGTTGTCTTAGGCAGACAGTGCAGATGTAAATTAAACTTTTACACCATGACATAAACATTGGCTCTGGTGTAAAAAGACTTCTGTTTGAGAGACTTCCAGTCCAGTCTCTTGATTTTTAAGGGTGGAGCACTGGTTTACACTTGGATGTAGCTCTCCTGATCATTAGCCCCTGTGGGAAATCAGTTACAGATATATGAATATTCAATTACAATCCACTCTAAAGGTAAAAAGTTTTCCTGACATAGATCTAAACGGCTAACAACTTCTTGGTGTCAGTAAAAAGTAACATTATGTTGTTTTTTTTTTAAATCAAATTTCCGCCATGCTTACTTTAGACTGTTACTCATCTTTGGAAACATATCGGTGTTTTGAGTTTTGATGATAACATAAGTCTGAAAGCATCAGGTCATATCGGTGCAGTTCCCAGATAAACCACTCCTCTTTATTCTTCAGAAGGACAGACAGTGGTGTATCTTTCTCAGAGGGACGTCTCCACGTCCAAAGGTTTCCTGCTCCAAGAAAAACAAAGTGCAGATCACACTGAATGTGTCAACAACACAGTCAAGAAGGCCTTTATATAAACTGCAGAGATTTACAACCCAGGCAAACGCAATGAACTTCTGCATCATTTAAGGTTGGTTAAAGGCTCAAGTCCATCAGAATATTGCCGGAAGTAAAGAGATTTTGAGTTCAGAATAAAAGTTTAACACGTGTCACTCGAAAATGCACTTTTCATCCATGTGGTTCATGAAAGGTTTTACATTAGTACTAGTTGTATGTCTAAGGATCAGGGGTTAAAATCTGAACATATAAGCTTGTAGGCTACTTTATCTGGCCTCGTTTATAAATCGTCCATTTTAATTTAGGATATGAAGCATGGTATGAGGACACACATTGTATCCTAATTTTTGAGAAAATTAGGGAAATTCTCCTATTTATGTGTTAGCATTTTATTTTATTTTTTAAAAGTCTTTCAAAGTTATACCAACAGTTTGACATATCAGGTTGTCGTGATTGCTTACCCAGGAAATGTATTTTGAAAGGAATAACAGGAAGTTCGTCGTTTTATTGTGGCAAACTTGCAACTTTAAAAATCCAGACACCTGTTGTTAAGGGAGGACTCCACACACACACACACACACACACACACACACACACACACACACACACACACACACACACACACACACACACACACACACTAATCACAAGCTACAGCCAACATCACATGGAGAGAGGAGGCGATTGAACACAGAGGAGCGGAGCTGGGTTTGGGATACAGCTGTGTGAGAAAAGCGCCGCGCTGCGTGTTTCTGTGGATTAATTTGTCTTTCCGTCACTTCTCCGTTTAAGGATTTCCTTCGGCTGCAATGTTTCAGGACCCAGCGGCAGGTGTGTAGTTTTATCTGATAAGTTTTAACCTTTGTTTGGGTAACGTTAGCCACAGGCAAACTCGTGCTCAAAAATAGTTTGACCTAACATTTAAAGATACTGGTCTTCGTCCTTTTTTTTTTTTTTTTTTTTAAACAATGAATTTCACGTGCGAGTTCCGTTCACATTTAGGTTACTACTGTGCTGCTGCTAATACCTGTTCTTGGTACCTCTGATCTTTTCCTGCCTCAAACCACACTTAAACCACGTAATTCGGCATATATCCAGTAAACGTAGTATGTCTGATTTCCATAAAATTCAAACTTTTCTTCGAGTTACTCTCCCGACCAAAACGCTAATGGTGGCCGCAGTCCAGGAGCAAATTAGTCACCGTAAATCGAGATTTTAAGAAAAAGGGTGTTGCTTGGTAGATTTGATGAAAGCCGAACTAAATAAACGACCTTCATGATCCGACGGCGGTAAAGTAGATTAACTCATCTTATTTTATTCAGGATAAGTAAGAGGTCATGCCATTATGGGATTCTTATTGAGGAGGGGGGTGTAGGTATTTAATAACCTGTACACGGGGAGATACGGTCAGAAGGTAGTAGATGAGAAATCAATGAACAGTTGTATTCTTATCTTTTTTCTTTTCCGTCTACCTCTGCGGACACTTGATTTTGTCAGTGAATGCTGCCTTAAATTCAAATACCATTTCATCATAGTGCATTTACATCAGTTGTAACATCAGACACATGGCATAGGTTATTATAGAAAGGTAACTGATGATGTGTGAGATGTTATCACATGTGTAGCAGCTAATTATGGTTTTTGGTTGTGTTCTGTATCACTACTTAGACTTATTTAAGACTGCAACGGCTACTTGATTAAATTATCTCATACACTTTAATAACAGGGCTGTGCTTACACTTCAGCACTGTTCAGGAACTGTCCAATTACAGACCATATTTTCTTCTGATAAACGCAGTCATTATTGTCTCAGTCTCACCTGTTGAAAATACTGTCATACTTGTGAAACAATCAGTAATGTCATGTTATTGCACTTGTTTCTTCTTAGAATTAAGGCTATTTTCTCTCCCTAGCAGCCTCCTCCATCCCTGTTGTGATGCAGTGCTGGGTCTGAGAACGGAGCTGAACAGTGGGATAACATTTGCCAGGCCCGAGGGCCGCTAGACCAATAAGACATGTTGGCTGCCATGCTGCGCCAGAGTACTGGTGGAGGGTCAGGTGGTGGTGGTGGAACCAAACTCTCTCTTGGCATCTCCCGCCTGTCTAGCTCCAGCTTGGGTTCAGCAGGTCCTGCACGGGTCTCCAAGAGTGGCTCGGTGAGCTTGGACAGCCCGGATATCCCCGCCTCCGACCCAAACTACATTATGCAGCTGGTCAGTGATGTCCGCAAGTTTGCTGATGTGCTTCTACAACTCAAAGAAGTTTTCAACTCCAAAGGTATGTATGGAAAGAGTCAACATTGGCATTAAGAGAAACTGTGGCAAAATACACACAGTTGTTTTTGTAACTTTTCTGCTGTGTCGGTTGCTTTTTCTGCTGATGATGAAAACACAGTCTTCTTACAAAACAATATATTTTTTTGAGGTGCTGATGTCTCACACTTGACTTGATAAATCCTATCACATATTCACACTAAAATATTCTAATACAAACTTGAGTTATATCTGCTGCTTTTGGAGGTAACCTGTCAATGATCTGTTGACACAACAACTGCCCACTGTGGATGTGGGCTTTTCAATGAATTACACGTGAGTGCCTCCACGTATTAGCAATGTCATCTTGTCTCCCTGCTTCTTGTGATGACATGTTACATCAGTGTGGTTAAACTCTGCCCTCCCTGCTTTGTAATTTGCTCTTGGCTCATAAACAAGATGTGTACTTTCTTAAAATCCAAACTATGTAAAGGAGAAAAAAACGTGGAATAGTATAAGCACGGCTGAAGGGATTTGTAACGGAATGTAGCTGCCAGTCAACTCTTGTGCACACACTGTTGCTTTCACCACAATGTACACAGTCCCAGAGATATCTACCTGTTTTGTCCAGCTATAGCCTTGGCTGCACGGTCAGTCACCCAGCCTTATCTCTCTATCTCTAGTCGAGTTCCTGAACTGTTTCCTTCTGCAAAGTACAAAACAATGTGAATTCACTGGTCTCTTTAACTTTCTATTAATGAAGAATTGATGACACATTTGACAAACGAATACAAATGGAGCATTTTGCAGAAATAATCTGGTCAAAAGGAAACATTCAGCTCCGTCTTACTGCTTTCTCCTCTAAATCTTCAAAAAATACACAACAGCAGCAGCAGCAGCAGCAGCAGCAGCAGCAGCAGCAGCATTCCAGCAGGAAAGTTTGACGCCCAGGCTTTGTAGACAGAATAAAACCCTCACTAAGCCACTAATTAATAGGCTTTACTTCGTCAGTGGTGAAATGGATAATTTCCAAACCATAGGGATGTGTAGAGACAGGGCTGTGTAACTGTGAATATGTGTATGGGTGTTTATTACATTCCTGACTTGGTATGTTTGGCGTTGGCTTTTGGATCACATCCATATTTATTAATCACCCAGAGCTGGTAAGGATGGTCTAAATAAGATGAGCTGAAGGTGCATGTGGTCGGCCATGTGGTGGTGGTGATGGTACCCTTTCCCTCCCCATTAGCACTGTGACATGACACCCAAGCCTAGGAAAAAGGAATTCCAGGCTTTTTTTTTTTTTTTTTTTTTTTTTTTTTTACGGAGGGGGGGGTAAAGGGTCTTGACGAATTCCAGGTTTTTTTTTTTTTTTTTTTTTTTTTGTGTGTCTGGAGAGGTCGGTAAAGGTGCTTGACCCGGCTGGACAGGGCGGCAATATAGAGAGCAGGACTCGCACCAGGCACCTTTTAAGCTTGAGAGACTTTTCAGTGACCTGTCAACATGCCATGGATCAAAGCAGGGAATCATGTGCATGAGATTGATATCTGCAACTTCATGGAGCAGAAGAAGGCATGATTTAAATAAGACATACACTTTGAAGCTTTTGTGTAGTTCCACATTTTCATTGTGGGATCAAACAAATTCAGAAGTGATTTTGGTCTCTTTAATGGCCTGTTAAATAAAACATACAGGTTTTTGCTATGTAACGAAGTTGCATTTCTGTAATGCGAAATGTTTTGCCGTTGTCATTTGTCAATAAGATACTGGTTTATAATCTCTATATAGAAGAAACGTCATACTTTAAAACAAAATCGGAAAGAAAATGATTCAGTGACTGTCAGCCCACTCTGCTGCACATCACATAATTTACAGGTCCAGTTAGCACAGGCTCAGTTATGCAAATACAGTCACTGAGATGCCAACACGTGATTGTAAAGCAGAGTATTCCCATTAGATGGCTTATTTTGGCTAAATACAGGAAAGGGCAGATTTGGGAAACTAGGCTAAATACGATGTGGAAAACAGATAAAAAGCAGCAAAGAGACCATTGTGTCTCAAAGTACTTTCAAACACCAGGAAAAGTCTTGTGACTGTTTTTCTGACTTGTTATTTCCACTGCTCATTCAAATATGATACGGCTAACACGTGTGTGAAATCAGCTTTTATTTTGTTGGTCATACCTGGGTGGTTTGTACCTGTTGTCAGTAATTTATCTTCAATGTATCTTTATTGAGGTTTAGCACTCTAGGACTTTAGCAGAGCATGCTAACAGATTGTCGGGAGGCACTGACTTGTGCTGTGATTGGACGGGATTTAACCCCCCCCCCCCCTTCTAATTTATGGCCATATTGTCTCTGCAGTGCTGGTTCACAATAGTTCAGACCTCTCATTACCCTAGCCACTCACTGAAGCCAAAGGACAGCCTCGTTTTTTTTCCCATAGTCAGGGGCAATATTCAGTTTAGAGCTCTGTGCCCCTCTCAACATGGCCTACATTCACAGTCAACGATGTGAGTCTGACACCCATTGTTCCCAGGAGGCATCTCCGGACTAGCATGCTGCTGCTAACTGGCAGCTTTTAGAGAAACTATACTTTCCCAAGTCAAGAATAGCTGTGGCCTGTGGGATTGGTCCCCGGGGGATTTCTTGGGCCAATTTCTTTTTAAAAAAGTTTTATTTATAAAAAAAGTTTATTTTTCTAGTGATGCACATCAACCTTAAATGGTAATTATTACGTGGGGGCTCTTCAGCTGTGGTCACAGTCATGACGCATGACTGCATTTTGGTTTTTACAAGTGCCTCAGAAGAAACTGGCTGCGTGTCTTCATTGTTGTCAAGCCCGTGTTGAGGACCTGTCACAGCATCTCCACAGATATTGACATTCTTTCTTAAGGTCGTGACCTCGTCCAGTAGCCACTTGTGAAGGAGATGTAAGTAATTGGAGGGGATTATTTCTTGAAGGTTGGTCTCAACTGGGGTCACTGAGGACGTTTGGAGACCAGATGAGCCGTGGAGGTGGTCCCCCTGGCTTTTGTGTTGGACGGTGAGTAGGGCCTCTGGAACTCGCCATCATAAGATTAGCGTAACAAACATTTGGCCCCAGCCTGTCTTTATTCAGCAAACTCTGCGGTAGATAGTTGTGCTTTTCATCATCTATTTTGGTGTATTACTGTGGCTGCCTGTCTGACTAGGACAGGTGTGTCATCAGTGTTTCATGCTCCGGCTCTGCCAAGCAGAATCATCTGCCAATTTTGTGTGTCAGCTGCTTAAGAATGAAAACTGCACCAGCAAGCAATTCACTGTGTGAAGCTGAGCGGAACAGGGTGTTACAGGAAAGCTTTTTAAATTGAATGCTACACTTCATATTTACAGTGAGCAATTATCTAAATCTGTAGCATCTGGATCTCTCCTCTGTAGCTACAGGAGGTCGATCTTATGTTTAAGAACGACAGATGTATGGGAGTCTTGTTGGGTTGCTATTTCCTTTTCAGTAGACCTGGAGCTGCCTACGTGTTGATGTATCAGCACCTTGTTAATTTGCACTTGCCAGACAGTCTGTTTTTCTCTTGTGTGTTGATTGCTGTTGCACTGATATATTGTCACCACTATAAAGTTACACCTTAAAATCTTAAAATGAAGCCAAATCTTCATTCACAGCTGACAATGTGTGCCATTAATTAGTTTAAAATCATGTATTCTCTCATCATTATTTGAGTGTTTTTTTTTTTTTTTTGCTTTTAATGACCCTAACCCATGGCAAAGCAGCACATGAATTTCAAACAACACTAGCCTGGTTGCTGCAAATGGGTCCACCCCAGTTCTGTGCCCTCCTGTACATACCCTTACCCTGTAGTTCATTCTGCCAGTGAAACCTGACCCACTCTCAAATATTGCGCAATTTCAATCAGTCTTTCTAGGAAGGATTCCTGTGCATTCAGCGTGTGTAAAAGCAAAGTTTTACTACAACTCCATCACCATTAGTCACTGTTTTAATTTGTCAGTGTTAATGTATGACTCACATGCCCCCAGCTCCTTCAGTCAGTTCTATGTTGTGCTTTGAGTCATATGTGGAGGATCTCTCCTCACAGTGAACGTGTGGTGGGTTTTTAATGATTAACAAGTGCCTACTAAAAATGTTCCACAGGTGTTGTGTAATGCACAATGATACACTGTAATACACTTGACCACTCGGTGAATAACAATTTTGTGGCAGGGAGCCAAAGATGTTTTTAGAGAGACAATTTTTCTTTTGGAAAAACAAACTGGTAAAGTTGTTGCAGTGATGCTACACTTCACTTTACCACGTTGCCTTTTGGCTTTGTTTTTGTGCCTTTAGTTGAAATATGCTGTAAAGATGTGGGAGAATAAGTGCTTTTTTTCTCTTTGTGAAAGTCTGTTGACTATGATGGTAAAGCTTTGTGGGAAAGGGATTTTGGTCTGGGTCCTCAGAGAAAGCCTAAATGCTATTTTAGTGATTTGTATTCTAAATCACCCCTTGTGAAATACCAGCCTAAAATTAGCCCTACTTGGGCTTTTCACTAACCATTCCAGACTTCCTTAATAGCTGTAACTGTGCTCTGTTTAGACAGTCTGTCCCACTGGGTCTGGGATCCACTGTAAAGCATTGCAAACTTCTTCTTGCCTCCAAAAAGTTCCTTTTATGGTTCTTTTTAATGTGCCCATATTTAAAGCCACTGTAAATTATCCCGAGCACCAGACAACTAACCTTCCTTACTTTAAAGTTGTCTCTTGTAGATCAGGTTACATCAATAGTTTGGGAGCCTGGTCCCTAAATTACATTTTCCAAAGATCTTGATTTAATACTGTGTAGTTATCTTACAAACTAAGCTGCCTCACAGGATTTATTACATTACCTTAATTGTTTTAGGTGATCCTTGTTTAATAGCACGGGCATTGTTTTAGCATTAGTGGACATGCAAGGGTAAGATCTTTGGATTGCTACCCTCCAGGATTAAAGGGCAGAGTATTGTGACATATGGTAGGTCCTTTTATATCCTCTGCC